TTTTTTTTTTTTTTTTTTTTTTTTTTTTTTTTTTTTTTTTTTTTTACGTATATATAAAGTTTAAAATATTCTACCTCAATGAAATTTTCAAATAATCAATTCTAAATAGTATATATTTGCTCAATATATCATTTAATTCTATAAATTATAACATTCAGATACTGCCCTAATCAAGAAATATACATAATATACATAAATTTTATTTGTATAATAAAATCGATTTGATATTAATGTATTAGCTTAAGTATATTCAATTTTGACATATATTTTATTATGAACATTAGTAACATTAAAGATGTACTAAATAAAATGTCTTTTTTTTAATCATTTATGAATTACAATCTTACTTATAGATATTATATCATTCAATTGTAATATTTTTTTATTTTTATTGTTTTACTAATATAATATATATTTGATTTGATCAAATGAAAAAAATGCAATGTGTAATATATCAAAAAAATATAACAACACAAAATATTATATATCTAGAAATTATACGATTGAATATTTTGCTAAATATTTTATACAATGATTTTTTAATAATTTAAATTGATTGTTGATCTTAGATCTTTATTAAATTAATAAATTTTTATATTTTTAAATAATAAATAAAAATAAAAAAATATTGTTTAGTTAAAATCTTAATGAATATATCGCGTTTTCTTGTAAAATTATCGAAACCAGTTATAACAACTCCACCATATTTGGAACGAATTTTTACGTTCTTATGGTCGCACAACGGTCACAACATCCTACACATTAATACGCACATTGCTGGAGATGTAGACATATGATTCATCCAGAATGATTTTTTTTTAAACTGTGTGATCGTCTCAGTCGAAAATATGGATATGTATTTTGTAGATTTATATTTTTCTAATATTATATTTAATATGCATTTAATATGAATTATATTTATAAAAATTAATAAATTAATTTTTGCAATATTTTTAATTAATTTAATATAAAATACATGCAAAAAATTCATTTCATATTTTAAATTCGTAAATAAACTCATTATTATTGAACATTATTGAATTATTATAAATATATAATTAGTGATAATTTCTTATTGACAAAAATAAATATTTTAATAAAATAATACAATGTTATAATTATAACAAAATCGTCAAATTACAATTATAAAAAACATAAATAAAACAGTGTTTACCTCGTTTAGTTACATTATATTTACAACGATCATCTTTTAAACGATGAAAACAGTACTGCGAATGCGTGGTAAAGGATTCACATGACACGTCCTGTTACAATTCAGCCAACGCTTCAAATTCAAACTAACCAATGACGATGAACCGATCACTAAGCTCGACCAATGAAAACTCCCGAACATTCGAGCACTTTGACAAAATGTATGTATGTGTTGTACGTGTAGCCAAATGTTAACCAGTGTGAATCGTTGGTTACACAAAGATACTTGCATGTCGCAATAAAAGCAGCCAGCAAGTCCAGCGACCGTTCAGATCTCCTAGCATTATCCAGTGTATTGGTGATCGTTTCTATTTCTAGTATCTATCGTATTGTTCAATAATCGTTTCTTTGTTCTTTTAAAGGAAAAACAGGTAAGTTAAATGTTTATTTCCAATCTATAACGATAAGTTTGTTTGGTGACAAAGAGACGCCACGAATACGAACAAAGAGACTTCGCTTATCCACTTTTATACTTAATCAATGTTCAATACGAAACAAAGAAAGTGCCGTTGTTTTTTTTTTACAATAATCCTAAACGTCATCTTCCGCATTCGATTTGTAATTTTACTGCAATACGTTTTTTTGAATGTGATCATGCGTAGAAGTAATCATAACTTCGACTTTCTTTGATTGTGTTTAAATAATTTTGTTGAGATATATATTTTTCAAAAAATATGAAAAAGAATATTTTATATCACGAAATTATGTCATTAAATATCAAATCAATGTATATATACCTGATATTTTTTGACTGCTCTATTGTGCAAATAATTTTGAAAAATTTCGAATGTCGAATGTCGTTTACTTTGTTTGGTATAGAATTAGTATAGAAATAACAAATACGTCATACAATATAATTTTTCCCTTATTGTATTTCCAAAAGTATATATTATAATACAATATCATAATATGCTACAAAATATTTCAATTTTTTTCATTCTTCAAATTTAGTCGTAATGTATAAATAGCGTACATTTTTCTTACATATTTCCTTTGTTTGAAATAAGCTTCACGCGTGACATTATTGTAATAAAAATGATTAAATATAATAAATACGTATATATTAAATTAAGAGGAAAATATTTATAAAAAATTTCAATGTACAATTTTTAACCTCAGTTTATAAAATCAGATATATTATTTTGCAGTGACATACAGTTATTGCCACAATGGCTGCGGCTACTGAATCGCATGCTAATGAATGTAAGTGACAAAATTTTTGTATAAAAATTCTTTATATTAATTTCTAAAAATAATAACAAATTAATAATTTTCATAATTAATATTTTTAATTTATATAATTATATTTTCTTGAATTTCAAAAAAAAATCAATTATACGATATATGTACAGGTAGAAGATATAACTTCTTATAATATGTATAAAATGTTTAATCTTTCATTATATCATTTTATGATTAATGATTTAATTGTTTTATTTTAAAGATTTAAATAATATAACTTATTAAATATTATATATACAAATATTTGTACACTTGTATACAATTAATAAGTATATATTACATATTACTGTGATTGATTATATGACTATTCAATGTATGTTATGTGTGATGACTTTTTCAAGTCATTATTTCTGATTGAATTTTCAGAATTGTTATGAATAATGAACCAAAATTTTGCCAAATTTTGCCGAAAAAGAGGTTATTCGCGAATCAGACGTAATATTTTTTCACGTTCGATAATAAACTCAGTACAACAAAGGATTGTTAATTAAAGGCAATTTAGATGGGAATAGGAATACACCCTAAAGCAACGAAAAGTAGATAGTTGCCAAGAAGAGGTCAGAGCCCTCCATTGGCGTCCTCGGAGGAGTGTAGTCTGCAGTTCGCCGTGGCAACTGCAGCTTGATTCAACTGCAGTGCTCGAACGCTTTTCAGTGGTTCTCAATTATGAAAATTTCACAAATTTTCGATAAATCATTATTGTGATATTTTCATATTTGCAAATTAAATATTTATTCTATATTTAATAAAGATTAATTATTTTAATTTTTTTTAATTTTTTTTTTATATACTCAAAATATATATTTACTTTATATCTGATTTCAGAAATTGATTTTGGATATTGGAATTTAAAAAATAAAATTTGCATTGTTTGTAAAAAATTATATTCTTATATTTCAAACAAAATAATTCAATTCGATATTTCGATAAAAATTGCAGAAAGTATTATTTTTTTTGCAGAATAAAGTTTCATATAAAATTCATATAATAATTGAAAACATATCTTATATGATTTGAATATAGATTATTTTATATATCGCCTGATTGATATCAATTTCGCAATACGAATAATTATGGAGAACAATTTTATTGATCTCTCATTACCGGATACACAATGTAACGGAACCCGCATAAGTGTTGCGTATCGATAAATAATGCTGTTTCACAATTGAACACTGCGCCAATACTAGCACGCGACTTAAACCTCATTCTTCGCTCTTTTCACATCTCCTCTTTCGAGTTGTGGAGAATGAGATTCAAGTTCCTCTTGCATCCGTGAAAGAGACTGGCTCTGGTCGAGTTTAAACAGCGTACACACGGTGACATTGAAGTGCGTAGGTTAATCCGATTGTCTGAAGCAGCGTGCAAGATATATCGGGTGAAATGTCCATAATCATTTCCTCTCGGTGAAACTCTGTTGAATTTCTTCCTTCCTTAAAGGGCATGCAATGATAAATCACGTTTTAAAACGATGCACTTTTCTTGACCAGACTCGATTTCGCTCGATTCTTTTTTCTTTTCTTTCTTTTTTTTCTTTTTTATTAACTTTTTAAATTTTCAAATTTAATTAAATATAACGAATAAGTGAAACTCATTAAATATAATCAAGAGATCATTATTCCATAAATTTGCTCTTTCTTTTCAATTAAATATATTTTCTAATTAATTGCAATGGAATCATTACTATTTCTTATTTGTTTAATTGCAGAATAAGTTTTTTTGGAATAGAGAAATATAATGATGTAATTTGTTGTGCTGGATGAAATTTAAATGTTGGAAAGTTAATTGGAATTTAAAAAAAAATCTTGATAAATATCAAGTCTCAATTTCTATTAGAATACGTCACTTCGATTTCTGCGCAATTTACTACGGTTCGTGACCAGTGGAAAAAGGGGTGACTGCATTATTAACATCGCCTATTCCTTCGTTCCGAGTTCTGAAAATATTCCACGATATCGATCCAGGTGTAGGAGATTCATTCACTTTATAGCGTATCCTTCGACCGTAATGCGTCACGGAATCCCGACATTGCGATTGTTCGATCGTTCCTGTCAAATGAAAAAGTTTACGGAACAACGATTATTGTCATTTGTGTCCCATATTTTCTCATATCGGT